TCTGTCTCAAAAAAAAGGAAAAACAAAACAAACAAACAAAAAAAAACCAGTGTCATTGTCGTTCTCACATCACGAATAAAGTTTTCACTGTCACACTGTTTCTATGTAGTGGAGATTCCCCAGAGGGCTTTGCTTTGCAACGTTGTAACACTGCTTCCCCACCGGCTCCCTGGCATTCCATGAATTCATGACAGATCTACCTTGAGCACCAGGCCACCTACACATTGAATCACACCTGAACACACAAAACTTCCTGCTTTCCTGTGATGATTTGCTCAGCAACCTGTTGTGACCTGTACCCTGATCAGCCACCCCTCAGCACACCCAGAACCTTGCAATTCTATTCTAATAAGAATAATTGCCAGCTGGGTGTGGTGGCTCACGTCTATAATCCCAGCACTTTGGGAGGCCAAGGCAGGTGGATTTCCTGAACTCAGGAGTTTCAGACCAGCCTGACCAACATGGCAAAACCCTGTCTCTATTAAAAATACAAAAAATCAGCCAAGTTTGGTGGCACATGCCCATAATCCCAGCTACCCCTTGGGATGCTAAAGCAGGAGAATCACTTGAACATGGGAGGCAGAGGTTGCAGTGAGCGGAGATCGTGCCACTGCATCCCAGCCTGGGCAACAGAGCAAGACTCTGTCTCAAAACAAAACAAAATAAAATAAAATAAAAAAGAAGACGAATTGTCAATTACTGACCTGGGTTAAATCAGTGGCTAAAACAAGTAAAGTATGATCCCCAAACTGCACTCTTCTCCCTTGTGATTTCCAGAGACCACATAATAACTCAGTTTGGATGACAAATCCTAAAAGACCTTGGCCACGCTCATGCCTCTGCTAACACTGTACTCTTCCTTCTCCAGACAAAAGAGAAAAGGGGAAAGAAGAAGCAGGGAGGAGGAGAGGAGGATAAGAAAAAGGAGGAGGAGGAGGAGGAAGTGGAGGAGGAAGAGGAAGAGGGACAGCAGAAGAGGAGGGGAGCCAGAAGAGAAGAAGGAAGATAGGAAGAAGGAAGACAAGGAGGGCAAGAAGAAGGCGAGGGGGATGAAGCACACTTTACTTGTAATAACTTCTTGAAAGCAACAAATGAAACCTGAAGTGACATTTGTGTTTCTGGGGTGATGCTGGCTCTCAGCTTTGACGTCTCACCTTTGTCTTTGGCTCCTTGCTCAGGTCTTGCCTCTGAGCTTGACGAAAGTTACCCCAAAATGAGCCAGTGGCAGATGGAGGCACAGAAAGCCAGAGCTACAGAAGTTGATGCCAAAGGCCAGAGATGTGAAATGACTCTTCCCTGGTCACACAGCTAGCTAGCATCAGAGCTAGGCTAGGACCTCAGGATTAGATGTGTTTACTCCTGATTCAGTCCTCCCTCAACCACCTGTGACTTGACCATTTCTCCTTGAGCCCCTCCCAGCAACAGCAGAGAGCGCTGTGTACCAAAGCCACAGTGCTCCAATCCTCCCTCGTTGCAGAGAAAGTTCTCCTGTCCCATACTCAAAATTGTAGGGGTGAGCTCAGCATGACTGAACTGTGTAACATAACAGCCCTGGGGTGTCAAAGCCTGCAGAGAATCCACCACACATCCAGGGAAACTGTGTGGAAGGGCTGCACCGCCCTTTCTTCATGTAAACGTCAGATGACTGACTTGTACAAGCATTACAGAGCTGCCTTCAGGAATAGGGTCCAATGTTACCAGGAAATTTATTTTAAGCCTGGGCAACAAAGCAAGACCCTGTCTCTACAAAAAATAATTTAAAATAAATTAATAAATACACTAGATGTGATGGCATGCACCTGTAGTCCCAGTTACTCAGAAGGCTGAAGTGGGAAAATTGTTTGAACCCAGGAGGTGGAGGCTGCAGTGAGCCATGATTGCACCATTGCACCCCAGCCTGGGTGACAGCAAGATCCTGTCTCTATAATTTAAAATATATATATATTTTATGTGGCTTAGGATTTATCTTGGAAAAGTCAATTCTGTAAGACAACACAGTGGGAGAAAATATTTCCTAGTACTCACCCTAGTGCTAGCCCTCCAGTGATTTTTAGAGTTCCTCCAGCGGAGGTGTTCTGAGACTGTGGCCATCAAAACTGGGTCTTCTTAAAGGCATAGGCTACTTTAATAATATCCTCTTGAATTTGGGTCCCTCCCCATAAGAACTTTCCTGTTACTTGCCACACTGCTGTTCCTGCCACCCGTTCATCAACCCGTATGCTCTCTGCATTTCTTCAGCCTCCGTAGTTACCACCTGAATTTAAGGTGCTGTAGCTCCCACCCTAGTGTGGAACCCATAAACTTTTCCTGCTTCTTCACTTTGGAAAGGATGTGTCTTCTGCTTTGTTTCCAATGCTCTGATAAAGTCCAACGTTTTCCTGGCTTATTGAGCACCACAGCTCATCAGTTGCACTGTCTTCTTTGCTACTTGGTAATTGGTGGTTGAAAGCCCATCTCTCGAGTGAGCATGCTCTTTCTCTTTCTCTCTCTCTCTCTCTCCTCTCTCTCTCTCTCTCTCTCCCAGGCTGGAGTGCAATGGCGTGATCTCGGCTCACTGCAACCTCCACCTCCCGGGTTCACACGATTCTCCTGCCTCAGCCTCCAGAGTAGCTGGGACTACAGGCATGCACCACCATGCCAGGCTAATTTTGTATTTTTAGTAGAAATGGGGTTTCTCTATGTTATCAGGCTGGTCTCGAACTCCCAACCTCAGGTGATCCACCTGCCTCGGCCTCCCAAAGTGCTGGGATTACAGGTGGGAGCCACTGTGCCTGGCTGTAGTCTCTGCAAGGAAAATGCATGTCTTCAACTGTCCCACAGTGGAGTGGAGTTGAGTGCCATTTTATGACACTTTCATAGGAAACTTCTTGTAGCTCCTCCTTGCTGGGTGGCATTTTCATTGTTAGAAGAAATTCATCTGACCTGTGAATATGGGGAGTTTACCGTGCATTCTCTTCTGTACAGCATTTGTAAGGCCACTAATAAAGACTAATTCCATTCCCTATTTTTGTGGAATTCTCCTTTTTACACTCTTCCATATATAGGCTACATTTATGATCTTTAACCTACTTCTGATCTATAAAGTGTCCTAACTTACTTGTAGTGTTTGGTGTTGTCTTTGTTTTTTGAGACAGGGTCTCGTTCTGTTGCCTAGGCTGGAGTGCAGTCACATGATCACTGCTCAGTGCAGCCTCCACCTCCTGGGCTCAAAAGATCCTCCTGCCTCAGCCTCTTAAGAAGCGGAGAGACTACAGGAACACACCAACATGCCTGTCTAATTTTTTTTTTTTTTTTTTTTGAGAGGAGGAGTTTCACCATGCTGCCCAGGCTGGTCTTGAACTTCTGGGTTCAAGTGATCCTCTTGCCTCAGCCTCCCAAAGTGCTGGGATTATAGGTGTGAGCCACTGAACCTGACCTGGAGTTGACCCTTGTCAAGAATTGTTTTAAAATTCTCAAACTGTATCCATTGGCTTCCCTTTATCCATATCTTTGCATATTGTTCAAATAATGTTAGTTGGCAAGCCAGGAATGAGTTTCTCTGAAAAAAAAATTCACATTTTTAAAAAGTGTTCATTTCTGTAACAAGCCCAGCCTTTATTATAAACCCTGCCCCAGGTGGATGTGAGAGTAAGCAGGCTATCACTTCCAGAACTCCCGATCCTGCCCCATCCCACTTCCACCTGTGTAAGGCATCCCAGTGGTCACTCACTCACTGTGCCTTTGTACTTACAGTTTATATATTTTGACACACAATTTTCTAATTTCACCTTTGGGCTCCTTCAAAATCTGAAAAAAAAATGTCATCCTGACCAAAGATGATTATAATACAGCTGGTTTTGGAAATCAGGTGAGTCTAATTAATGCCAGCCCCCTAAAAACGTATCAGTAGGTCAGGTATCTATCGTTTGCATGATAAAGATTCATTGAAAGGTTCAGCTTGAATATGCTCTGGTGATTCAAGTTTTGTACTGGAGCCAGCAGACTTCTACAGAGCAGTGCAAAAATCAGAGCCAGATGTTATTCCAGATAAAGTCTGAAAACTCCAATCTGATATCCAGGTACCCCAGAAGCCTGTCTCTGTGGGTCTCTCCATCCTGCTTCTGCCTCTATCTCTGCCATTATTTCCCACCCAGCCTATGAGCACCTTGTACCTGAACACAAAATGTATACTAACTTGAAGCATTAATAATTTTTTATATTGTGCACATCTTGTTTGCCCAAATCGATCGGGAGCTACTTAAGGGGGTGCCACGTCTCCCATCTCTTTGAAATCCCATCGCCCAATAAGTGTTTCAAAAAGGTAGCACAGTGTGAGAATATTTAAAGTACTTGCTCTATTTGCCCACACACTTTCTTTTGCTATAAAACACCATCTAGTTTACCAGGTCTGAATTAGGCAATGACGTATTTATTAGCAAGTATGAACAATGCCTCATTACACTCCTCCTATTAGGAAATCTACAATCGGGAGGGATTTCAAGGCAGTTTCTTTTCACTACTTCCCATGAAATCCTGGGTCTCATGAATTATGTTTCTGCCTTTCTTCTACTTTTATTTCTAAGAGTCTAAGAGGTTCAGAAAAGGTAGGAACATACAGGGGAGGTTAAGAGAACGTCAATAACTCCAGCATAAGAGAAACGGGCTCTTCCCCTTTCCGAATAATAACAAAAATAGAAGATGCTTTTTACTGAGGGTAAAGCCCTTTCTGCAGCTGTAGATTTAGCCACAGAAAAATCACTCACTTTATTAAAAAAAAAAAAAAAGGCAAAAAACTCTTCAAGCTGGCACTTGGCAGGAGGACATGTTGAGAACATTTTCTCAACTCAGCTGGGAAAACCCAGGAAGAGACATGTTGAGGAACAGAGGATAAAACTCTTACAATCTGTTGGGACTATGCCAAAGAAAATCAGGCAACAGATAAGCAAGGTTTGTCAGTCGCCCCACTGGCTCCAGGCACACATTGCTCACTGCCGCCTCCATGAAATGAGTCACCTCTTGCAGAATGCGTCACAGCTCAAGTTTAATCAACCTCACAGCAGCCTGGGAGGGTGCATCACTCTGTCCTTCCACAAAAGATGCGCCACTGAGCCATAGAGGGAGAGCTACGGGTTACACAGGTGAGAGAGCATCGGGGACAGTGTCCATGGGAAGAAAGAAATACCCGGGGAGAGGGATGTGAAGCCCACTGAGCCCTGGGCTCAGCCATGGTGATCTGGTCCCAGCAAAAGACGTGGTCACTGAGGCATCATAAAATTCAGGGAGCACCTTCTGCAGCTACTCTTCATGGTCAGTCTCTTCATCACTGTCCTCCCCCAGGGGAAATTCCTTCATGGGCTTCTGGGTTGCATACATCCGGGTCTCCATGGGGCACTCCTGACTCAGAATAGCCTGCAGTGAGAGGCAAGAAGAGAAGCCACTGCACATCTTTTTTTACCAGTCTCCCCATCCCGTTCCCCACTAGCTCATCTGAGACTGGCATTGCTGAGAACTCGAGAAACTGCATGCACTGGCCTCCCGAGGTACCAAGTATATCAACCCTTGTGGGGACAAATATCTCATATGCGTTTAATTGAATCTAACAGTGGTAGTGGAATCAACACCACTCCCTATCACACCTTCCTGTCTTTTTTGGTTCCCTTGAGCAGCCTCTGAAGCCATCCCAAACCAATCAAGGCCCTCAGGATGCTTGTGCTGCAGTAAGTACGAAAGTGTGTCATTAAAGAAAATTCTATGGTGTGGATCTCTTCCTTGGGGTTTTTGTCCCGGCCCCCCACTTATTTTTTTTTTTTTAGATGGAATCTCACACCATTGCCCAGGCTGGAGTGCAGTGGTGGGATCTTGGCTCACTGCAACCTCTGCCTCCTGGGTTCAAGTGATCCTCCTGCCTCAGCCTCCCAAGCAGCTAGGACTACAGGTGCACGCCACCACACCCAACTAATTTTTTTGTATTTTTAGTAGAGGCAGGGTTTCACCATATTGGCCAGACTGGTCTCAAACTCCTGACCTTGTGATCCACTCGCCTTAGCCTTCCAAAGTGCTGGGATTACAGGCGTGAGTCACCACACCCAGCCCCAGTTTTTGTATTTTTAAAAAGGTCACCTGGTAAGGATAATGGTTCACTAGAATGAATGAACAGATGTGCCAATGGAATTCTGCCCACTTATGAGGGAGATAACTTGGTAATTCACAACTTGCTAGTAACTAGCAAGCTAGGAACAGTAACTACAGGATATCTTTGATGGTCCTCTGCCCCCATTTCCCTTCTCTACTTAAGACCCTTCCTGACAGCCCCAGAAAAAGAGGAAGTGATTACTTAGAGAAGGGTAATTAAGGAAGCACACAAAAGAATATGAAGATGAAGGGGATTGAGAAACACGGCAAAGCAGATAGAGTATCAACACAGGAATAGAGGAAGGAAATAATAGCCCAGGATGAAATGGAATGAGAGAGACGATGGAAGGAAACAAGTGATTTTTTTTTTTAAAGCAGTCAGAGCTCCTTACAAGCTTCTCCTCCTTGGCTGGGGGGCTCCGCAGGTAGTAGCAGAGTGGAGCATAGATGATGTTGACGACCCCAATGATGACCATGAGCCAGGGGAAACCAATGGTCCTGCACAATGGCACCCCCAATGGATGGACCTGGGAGAGACACATCAAAGTCACAAGTGTCTAAGGAGCCTCTATCACCCATAAGATGCTATGCTAGGGCAATGGGTGACCCAGAAGATGTCTCAGGGTCAGAGATCTCTAGAATCCTAGGAGGATAGCCTACTGGCTGCACTTCCAGCTGGTAAACAGTAGATAGGGGAAAGTGGGGCACCCAGGTCCTGCCAACATACCTACAGCAAAGCCCATGCAAAAAGCCACATCAGCGATGGCGTAGACACTCCCATACACCGAGGTGTGGCGTAGGTCCACCAGGTGTCCCATGATGGGCATCATAGAGGAATCCACCATGCCTGTGGCCAGAGCAAACAGGACACAGTCAGCTTCACCCACAGTCAGCCCCATCCACATCCCCTCCTCTGCTCCTCCTATTAGTACACTGGCTTTGCCTACTGTCCTCTCCCTCAGACCAACATCTGTTCCATGCGGGAATTAGGAGCTCATCTCTCCATATCCCTGCCAGCTGCCCTCCTGCTCCTTCTGCCTCTCCACCTACCTCCTCTGATGAGAAAAGGGAGGGAGCGAAAGGCATCAGACCAAAGCTAACATTCAGGGGCTTCTTGTTTCCTTTGAGGGCACTTCTTACCTATGGCAAGGCCAAGCCCTGCATTGGGTCCAATGAGACCAAAGATGTTGTGAGCCAGAGGAACCTGCAAGGAGAAAAAGGAAGAGTCATCAGGACTCCAGATGGTTCAGGTGGGAGCAAGGTTCAAAGAGTTTTCACATGACATGCGTTTATTCAGAGTGCACTATTGGCCACATACATCATCCTCCTGTACTCTCACACCTCCTCACAGAAGAATCTACACCTCCAATTTAAGGATATGACAACTTG